GTATGGTTTCTTAAGTTTTTTTTTTTTTTCCTAATTGTGACCATTATTGTTTGGGCCCGTTATTTTAATTTTATTTTTCTTAATTTTCATTTATTGATTTTCATGAACTTGAAAAGCAGAGCAACTGCCCCAATGCTACAACAACTAGGGTTGAGCCAGGCTGAAGTCATGAATTCTACCTGGGTCTGCCTCCTGAGTGACAGAAGTCCAAGCTAGCATGTTCTGCCTCCTGTGATGCAATAAGAGGAAGCTGGATTGAAAGTGGAGGAGCCAAGATTCCAGCCAGAATTCTGATATGGGATGTGGGCATCCAAGCAGCATCTTTTTTTTTTTTTAAAGATATATTTATTTTTATTGCAAAGTCAGATGCAGAGAGACAGAGACAGAGAAGAAGATTTTTCGTCCCATGATTCACTTGCCAAAAGCCCGCAATGGCAAAAGCTGTGCCGATCTGAAGCCAGGAGCCAGGAGCTCTTCAGGGTCTCCCACGCGTGTGCAGGGTCCCAAGGCTTTGGGCTGTCCTTGACTGCTTTCCCAGGCCACAAGCAGGGAGCTAGATGGGAAGTGGGGCTGCCAAGATTAGAACCAGTGCCCATATGGGATCCCGGCACATTCAAGCAAGCACTTTAGCCACTAGGCCACCACGCCAGCACCCCCAAGCAGCATCTTAAGCCATTATTCCAAAAGGGCTGTCCTAGTTTATTTTTTACACCCAACTTTCACTTATTTCAAAAAAAAAGACAACATTGCTTCTCTTGCTTACATAGGAGGGTTTTAGGTTCCTTTCTTCAAAAGATTAACTGGCTTTGGCAAAATAATAAAGTGTATAACTTATAAGATATATTTATAATTTAATGTAAATATTATCATTGAATTTTTGAATTCAGTTGTACTTAAAACATGCAGTGCCCTATGCTGGTAAAAAGTTATACTAAACTCTTAAGGAAAGTCTGGCTGATGGAGTGAATGTTACCCAATGGTTAAGAAGACAGTTACCTACGCAATATCAGATTGCCTGGATTTAAGACCCAGCCTGGACTGCAGCTTCGTGCCAATGCAAACCCTGGAGGTTGTAGTGATGCCTCAGGTGATTACATTCCAACTACCCTTTGTGGAAGAGTCATGCATCCAAGTTTTGGCCCTAGGCAGCATCAAGTGTTGTGGGTACTTGGGCAATGACTAGCAGACAGAAGATCTCTCCCTGTGTCTTCTGGAGTCTCAAATAGCAAACACTTCTGGTGAAGATGAGAGTTCAACGTATTCATACCACCACTACTGTATCATGAAAGAAACTATAATATACTCTTAGGGAACATTTTTTGATGAACTTTGTGAACTCCTTTGGTCTTGGAGCCACATATGTAAGGTTTTGAAAGATGGCAAATCCACTTCACCATATTTTAGAATTGTGATTATAAAAGTAACACTTTATGCAGAAAAATCCAAGTAAAAAGATACACAAAATTAAAGTTAATTTTTTCTAAATATTTTACAAACTTGAACTCATATTGCATACAAACGGATCCCTTTCCTTATGTAGTCCTAAGCACGTTTGGTATTATTAACACTCCAAATTCCACTTCAGTGGCTGTTAGTGTTTTATATGAACATGCCATCATTTTCCTATTTGCCTAATTTGGATGCTTAGATTTCTTCTGACTTTTGGAAATTTGTACTGGAGCTGGTGCTGTAGCATAGTGGGTAAAGGCAATACCAGGTAATGCCTTAACCACCGGCATCCCATATGGGCACCTTTTTGGATCCAGCTGTTCCATTTCAAATCCAGCTCCCTGATAATATGCCTGGGAAAGCAACGGAGAAGGCTCAAGTGTTTGGGCCCTCGCACCCATGTAGCAAACCAGGAACACACTCCTGGCTCCTGGCTTCAGACTGGCTCAGCTCTGGCCATTGCAACCATTTGGGGAGTGAACCAGTGGATGGAAGATTTCTCTCTCTGTCCCCCCCTTTTGTCTCCCTATAACTCTGCCTTTCAGATAAATACATATTTTAAAAAACATTTTTTATTTATTATAGGAAAGTCAGATTTACAGAAAGAAGGAGAGACAGAGAGATCTTCATCCGCTGGTTCACTCCCCTAGTAGCTGCAATGGCTAGAGCTGAGCCAATCTGAAGCCAGGAGTCAGGAGCTTCTTGCGGGTCTCCTACACTTTTTGGCCCATTTTCTATTGCTTTCCCAGGCCATAGCAGGGAGCTGGAAGGAATGTGGAGCAGCCAGACCTTGAACCAGCACCCATATGGGATCCCGGCGCACAAGGCGAGGAACTTTAGCCACTAGGTTACCACACCAGGCTCATAAAATACATATTTAAAAATTAAAATTAAAAAAAGAAATTTGTATTAAGCTGACAGATGAATAGTTGGTAAAATTTAATTTCTTTCATCATTAATTGTATATTTAAACAATTTTCATCCATTAGTCAATTTTTCTTTTCAATGGACCATGTTCCAGTCTTTAAAGTTTCTTAATACTTCTTACTAAGTCATGTAAATTTTTTCATTAAGAATATAAACTATTTGGTAATGCTTAAAATTATTTATAATAGGCTTAATTTTTTTTTACTACAGGAAGTTTAATCACTTCTTAAAGATTTACTTATTTATTTGAAAGATAAAATTGCAAAGAGAGAAGAGACAGAGTGATCTTCTATCCACTGGTTCATTCACTCCTCAAATGGTCAAACTGTTTCCACATTCATCAAAAATGGGTATTTCTTGTGCACGTGTGTATATATATATAGTATATATATTATATATAATTTTCATGATCCTTACATAGTTGATTAGGGCACAAAAGGTCAAGGCTACAGGAAAGTGGATAAGACCACTGTTTCCACATTCTCTTTTGTCCTTCCTGTATCTGGGGGAAGGGAAGAGACAAAAGGAGAAGCCACACCCACCCTCCCAACCATCCCAGGGTTCCCCACGTGGGGCATGCTCCGAGGGCATTGCTCAACTGTTCTAAATTGTTGCCAATCTCACCATTTCAAGCACGATATAATCTCTCCAGAATCCACTGGCTGACATAGTCCACCTTAGCATCTCCAATTGCCCAGATTTTCACTGCCAACACTTGGCTGGCCTAGTTGATCAATTTGTTCTGTCCTCTGCTGCAGTGTCAATTGTCCTCTGCAGGCTACAATGTACTACCATACCTCCATGTGCACCTGATATGCTGTCCATGCTCTGTTTGAGCCACTGAGGAGGCTCAGCTATGACACACGCACTCTACGGTCAGACCACGGATCCTGCCCTTCTCTTCATGGTTGGGGTTCTGAGTCCGGCAGTTCGATTAGGGGAATCCCCAAATAAACTTCATCTGAAGTGATCCCAGGCAGGGTTCTTGGATGTGCTTGCCAGTACAGTGTCTGGTACAGTCCATCGTTCCTATCAGCCTATGCATATTCTGGTGGTTGCAATTGCTGAGTCAGTTCTGTCTCCAGCCCTGCTTTCTATACAAACCAATGGGTGTTGGAGTCTATCCCAATCCTGCCATGGACACTTGGCCATGTAAACCTGTGGGAACTAGGCCTAGTTGAGGTGAATCCCAGTAACCCTCACCTGGCCCACTCCTTGTCCTGGTTCCCATGCTTGTCAGGATGTACAACAGATTGGTCCAGTCTGTCAAAAATGTGTATTTCTTTTTCATGTAATCAACTATGAGGTACATTTTTCAAAAATAAACATGCCCATCTTAAAAATATAGACTAATGATTTTTGAACTGTGTATACATATATCCATATAAATGCCACCTGAATCAAGACACAAATGCCTCTATCACCCCTTTATATCAGTCACCTCTTCTCAAACCAGGTGCTAAAAAAATGACAAGGCTTCCTGTTAGCACAGCTACATAGAGTTCTACATAAATGGAATACAATATTTAAAAATTTTATTCATGTAGCATGCATTCTTTGAAGTCTAGATTCTTTGGTCCAGCATGTCTTCGAGATCAACCCCTGATGTTGTCTAAATCTGCAGGTCCCTTGCTGTTAGGTAAGATGCTGTTTTACAGACACACCAAAACTGACCATCACCAAGGGAGTCATTAGATACTTGGGTTGAGTCTAACCTGAGGCTACTATGAATAAAGCTCCTGCATGCTTGTGCAAGTCTTTAAGCCATGGGTCTCTATAAAAAGATACTTTATTTTCATGCCTAGGAGGTCTGTGAGCTCTAGGTATATCATCTGCTATTTCAAGTCAAGCAAATTTCCCGAAGGAAAAGCCCAGATCTTGTTTTGGGATCAAATTATCAGGATGAGGCAATGGTGTAGGATATAATTTTCAGAGCATCTTGGAAAGCAGTCTGGAAAGCACCTGATCGCCCTCCTCCTGTATCAGCTGCAAAGCATAAGGCTCCTGTTGCTTGCTGCCTTCCTCCCCTCCATGTCTTCTGGCTCCTGATGTGGCTGATAATCCTGCCAAGTCAGTCCCGTCCCCTCCCATGACAGGAGGGTCAGAGGAGAAAATAACGAGTGGCATCATGTTGTTTAATGCCAGATCCCCTAAATAGCTCCAGAAGGCTGTAGCAGGGTCAGGCAACCCCACAGGCCACTTGAGTGGCTGCCCAGCAGCCTCTAGGATATCCTTTGCCCTCTTCAAGACTACAGGAGAAACACGTTCAGGCTCAGGGAATTCTGTGCACTGGTTTGCAGGAAGGCGTGCTTTCCAGAGGTAGAATATAAACTTCTTAAGAATAAGAGTTGTGTCTGACACAACTTTTGTATGTGCAAGACATATGGTCACTTAGACTGCTGTGCTACAGCACCTGCCCTTTGAAAAAAAGACTTCGGCAGAGAAGAATGATTTACAGATGAATTTTCAGGAAAGTACCTCCTTATTAAAATGCATTATAGGAAAGACCTAAGCTTTGCACACTTAAAGGTTTAGGCTACTTACACAAAGGACTCTGCTACTCACACCAGTCCTTGTCCAGCAGCAGCATGAGGTTTTGACTGGCCATGCTTCTCTTTCCTCAGTTTACAGACATCGGGACCTTCGAGACGGTGTGGCAAGTCAAATTCTACAATTACCATAAGCGAGACCACTGCCAGTGGGGAAGCCCCTTCTCTGTCATCGAATATGAATGCAAGCCCAACGAGACACGTAGCCTCATGTGGGTGAACAAAGAGTCCTTCCTCTGAAGAGAGTCTCAGCTGGAGCTGCACAATCTACTCTCAGACAAACCAGCACAAGCCTCAGGCCAGGCACCCCATGCCATTGCAGTGTCCTGTCTGGCACTGATGATCTCCTAGCCCTGGTGATTGCGAAAGTGTAACTCCCCTCTGATACAAAGTATCCCTGATGTAACAGATTGTGAGAGTCTAATTCCTGAGAAAATTCCTTTTGGTATTTTGTGCCGATATTCCTGCATCCCATCCATCGTTCCCACTCTCCTTGTTGGCGGCTCCTGGTTAGAGTTCAGCAGAACTGGAATGCTTGTGCTGGACTTCAGGAACCCACTGGTATCTGTGGTGTTTTTCAGGTTGAGTGATTCCCTCTTTTTCTGTTCAAAGTGTAACAACAACAACAAAAAGCAATGTGTATGGATCCTCCCCTGTGTAATATAACATGTAGCTTGCAATGTCCAGCAGCTTCCAAACAGGCTTTGTGACAATGTAATGCCAACAGCAGTGAATGGGACTCAAAGGTTGTACACCCCATAAACAGCTCAGCTTCTGCAGGGAAGGAAAATGAGAAAATGAAAGAACAAATACTTAAGTATTTGTAACACATAAAAACTCTTTCAAGTAACCTGAAATATTGAGCTATGTATGGCTCAGTCGAAATGGAAAGAAAGCAGTGTAGACCAGGGTAAGGGTAAGCTAAGTAACAGGGATTGCCGGGTCATCCCTTGGCAAGCTCCTGTAGCGTTCAAGCAAGCATATTGTGATGGCCCAACACTTCCTCTCACTTGAACTTTGGAAAACTGTATGGGACTGCAATTAACTTTTGATATTTCTTAATAAAGGTATTGAAAATTGTGCCCAGGGTTGTTTCTTCCTTTGGCCTACAGCAAGTAGATCTATGCACCAGGCCAGGCCTCTCAATTGTCTTTGCCACATTGTGAGGGGGGGTGTACTTATAATGCAATGGGCAGACTACTCGTGGATCCACTTCAGCTGTTGAACAGAATTTCAGTCAAGTTGTAAGTAGTTATTCCTGGGGGCCAGGATAGGAGATCCAGATGGAATTCCAGGCTCTTGGCTTTCCTCTGGCCCAGCCCTGGTCCTTCAGGCCATTGTGAAGCACCAAATGAAATTTCCTCTCTCTGTCACTCTACCTTACAAATAAATAAAACAAGCTAAATAATAAAAACAATATATTAATAAAATGGCTAGTGTAAGTTACAGCTCATGCTAGGCAATCCAAAACTGCTTCTGTCTCTCCTCACTCCATCTCTCTTTTGGTGACCATGCCATCATTAACTTCCCTGTAGCTCTAGTAAGAAGGCACATGTAGCAGTGGCAATGCATAATAGGGTTAAGACCTTGTGCATTACAAAATCCTTGGCACAAAGCCTGCACTCCATGTAATTGGAAGAAAAATGCCACAAGAAGAAAATAAGCTTCCTCTAGCAGAATAACACAAATTTGCAATGATCTACTACTGTTCACAAACCCTTTCCAGTAGCTTGCCTGCAATGAGGCTGCACTGCCACCAGGGACCAGCAATGCCTTGGCTTTGGACTAACTGTGAGTGATGGCAAAGGATGGCACACATTTGTCAATTAGCCTGGTTTTCAAAAATAATATTGTCTATTACAATTCCTAGTTACTATATTTTTAAACCCAACACTCAATCATTGGAACAGATCTGGAAATATTAAAATTGAATTTACTCCAAGGGCTGAAATTTCCTTCCAACAAAACCGATGGGAATGCAGGGTGATTAAAAAAAGGTGGACATGGTTGAGAACTATACATTTGAAACTAAACATCTTATTAGTAAGTGCTGCTATTGGTAATGCAAGTGGTTATGAGCCAACCGTTTGTTTATCAGAGCATTCGTTGGGAGCAATAGGAGGACTGTGCAATACATACTCTGCCCATCACAAGAATTTAAGGAGAGGCCTCACTTGGCATTGGAAGCTATCAAGGCAGGGCTGGAAGAAAGGGGCCCAGATGTGACTGGGGCCACCCACCCTTTAAAGAGCCCTGGACAAGAAGCTGGAGTGTGTCACCACTCAGGATGACCCTTGGTAGGGACTTCCCCTTGGCCCATTTTAGTTTTCTTGTCTTTGAAACAGGAGCTAGATTAGCAGACTTCTAGAATCATTTAAAATATATGGCTGGTTTTGAACTCCGTTGTTTCCTCTTTAAAAGAAAAAAGTGTGTGTGTGTATGTACGTGCACCAGGTGTATGTTTCCTTGAGGCCAGGAGTAAGGTTGACCCACAAGATGGGGAAGAAATAGAGATGAAGTAACAGGGAGTCTAGGCAGCTTATTTGCCATGTGAAGGGAGCTCTCCTGGCATATTCTGTTCTACTTAGGATTGGGCTTAAGCCCAGTCTCTCCAGCCACTTCTCACATAGCCCTCCGCCTACTCCAAAATTTGAGGGCTCAGCTATATCAAGCTGCTGAGTTGTAACTTTGTCCCTTGGCCATCTGGAAGGGCTATTTTTATACAAGTTGTAGCCATGTCTCTTCTTCCCAGCATCGGATGGAGACCTGGGGCCTGAGGAACTAAGCTATCCTTCTAATTATGATGATGAGTAAAACACTTCTGAACAGGCAGGAAAATAGAAAAAAAAATGCCTTGATTTTATTTTTTGTGACACCTTGCTTCCTGAGAAGTCACTTATCCAGCCATGTAAACCATGTGGACTGCAAGTGAGGAGAGAAAACATGCCAGAGTAAACATCCCTGTCACATATGTCACAAAGCCCATTCACTGAAGGCTAGAGTCTTCTCTCAAGGCCTCATCACTTCTATTTTAGAGAGTTCTTGCATGTGGGATGATCTGATTTCTGGCCCAAAGGGCACTGAAAGCTAAATCAGTAGAGGAGAAAAGACAATTGGTAGAAGAGGATATAGTGTTTTGTTTTGTTTTGTTTTTCCCCACAGAGAAGGAGGAGAAAATAAAAATGTGAAAAGCAAACAAATGGATCAGGACATCGCTATAACAGCTGGACACACCCTGTTCCAACCCACAGTTGTTCCTGTATATGTCAAAAACAAACAAGCAAACAAGCAAAAACCTACTTAATACATGTAATAATCATGGCCTGGACTCATTTACAAAGATGATCCATTACCTTCAGTTCGGTGGGCACAAGTTTAAATTTGGTACCAAAATACCTAAATTCAAATCCCAGGTCAGTTCTTAAAGCGGTCTGGCATTTTGTTTTGTAGATTTATTTATGTTTATTTGAAAGGCAGATTTTTAAAAATATATTTATTTTATTTTTATCAGAAAGGCAGATTTACAGGGAGAAGGAGATACAGAGAGGAAAATCTTCCATCCGATGATTCACTTCCCAAATGTCCGCAATGGCCAGTGCTGTGCCAATCCAAAGCCAGTAGCCAGGAGCTTCTTCTGGGTCTCCCACGCGTGTGCAGGGTCCCAAGGCTTTGGGCTGTCCTTGACTGCTTTCCAGGCCACAAACAGGTAGCTAGATGGGAAGTGGGGTTGCCAGGATTAGAACCTGCACCCATATGGGATCCTGGTGCGCACAAGATGAGCACCTTTGCCACTAGGCCACTGTGCCAGGCCCAAAAACGCAGATTTTATAGAAGGAGAAAGAGAGACACAAAGAGGTTTTGCAACCTGCTGATTCACTCCACAAATGGCCTCAATGGCCAGGACTGAGTTGATCTGTAGCTGGGAGCCAGGAACTTCTTCCTGGTTTTCACATGGGTACAGGGTCCCAGGATTAGTGGCATCTGCCATTGCCTACCCAGGCCATAAAGCAGGGAGCTGGAGTGAAGTGGAGCAGCCAGGACACAAACCAGTGCCCATATGGGATGCTGGCACTAACAGGAAGAAGGCCACACCAAACACTCAGCTGTGTGATATTAAGCAAATCACTTACTATTTCTCTGTCTCAATGTTCTCATTTAGAAAATAGAGATAATAATAGCATTTACTTTGTAGAGTGGTTTTGATGGTTATACGAGCTAACATATACAAATACTTTTAGAACAATGCTTGGAATATAACCTCATTATTTGGTACACTGTGTTTTAAAATGACAGAAAAAAAGGAATATATTTTCTAAGAAAACTGTGGGGAAAAAAAAACTGCCAAAATGCCATGAGAAAAATAACAGCCTCTTCAAGAAATAATACTCACGAATTTGAAATAATGGCCAAAGATTACACTCTTGGTGTATCCCCCCATGTTAAGAACAGAATGCTTATGGTGATAACATTTGCCCTTATTTAAAAATAAATTGTTGATCTGTTTCCACCTGAGGATTCAACCAACTGAGGATTACAAACATTTAAAACAAAACTGGGTCTGTACTGAACACACGCAGACTGTTTTTCTTGCCATTCTTCTCTAAGCAACGCATAGTATGTGCACTGTATTTGATGTCAGAAATCATTTAGAGAAGATTGAAAGCACACAGGAGAATGTGTGCAGGTTCCAGGCAAACACTGTCCTGTGCATATATAAGGTCATGAGTCTCCAGGAGCTTTGGTATCTAGTGGGGTCCTGAAACAAATTCCCCACGAATCCTGAAGAATGACTGCTAGAGATGTTCACACACAGAAAGCATAAAGTCTCTTTCATGAAGACCTAGTGTTGAATAATATGCAAATGTCAAGGCACCATCCAGAGTCCTCAAGATTTGGTAAACACCCAGAATGTTGTCATCTGTTCTTTTCTTTAGCCCTCTGCCCTGTGAAGATGATCCCTTTTCTCATGTACGAAATAGTGCTGATAATCTCCACCTCCCAAAGCCCGTGAGGTTGAAGTGACAAAGCACATGCCGTTCTCTCCATCACCTTCCTCTTGACAAAACCATTTCCTCTAAAATCACATCAACACATGCTCACCTACTGCGGTGTTTGTTTTTAATCTAATGGCTTTGCCTTAATTTCTGTGCAACCTAGATCACTGGGTTTTTCACAAAGAAAATCACTGTGGGTACATAAAAAATATTGAACAACTTCAAAACTGTTCCCGAGAAGCAGAAGCATTCAGTTTCTGGAAACTCATTTACCAATAGTACAGAAGTCCTCACTTAGACTCCAGTGCTGCTGGTATCACGAACAGCAAACCTTGCACTTGTGTATATTCTGTCTTTTCATGGGCACACAAACCTGTGATAAGGTTTAAGTTATAAATGAAAAAGAGTAAACAATATGAACAATAAAAACAATATATGGGGCCCGGCGCGGTGGCGCAGTGGTTAGGGTCCTCGCCTTGCACACCCGGGATCCCATATGGGCACTGGTTCTAATCCCGGCAGCCCCACTTCCCATCCAGCTCCCTGCCTGTGGCCCGGGAAAGCAGTCGAGGACGGCCCAAAGCCTTGGGACCCTGCACCCACATGGGAGACCCTGAAGAGGCTCCTGGCTTCAAACCGGCATAGCATCAGCCGTTGTGCTCACTTGGGGAGTCATTCGTCGGATGGAAGATCTTCCTCTCTGTCTCTCCTCTCTGTATATCCACCTTTCCAATAAAAATAAAATAAATCTTTAAAAAAAAAACAATATATGGTAGCAAAAGATTTCATCATGCTACTCATAATTATGCCCAATTAAAACTTGTGAATATTTTAATTTCTGGAACTACAATTTAATGTCTAGAGGTAAGGGAAATTATGGAAAGCAAAACCACAAGCAATGGGATGATTCTTCCACCCTATATAGCAAATTATTTGATGATTATACCATATTAAGTGCTGCAATGGCACTGGATAAAATGAATTACAATTTTTCCATAACAAGTAGGGTATTCCATTCCCTACTTGCTAACAAAGGATAAATGCAACACTGTTCTTGGTCCGCTGCTGGACTTTCACAGTAATCTT